AGAAACACACTTTTATTTACTCTTCTCATATGATTAAGTTTAACTCATCACTCAGATACAGGCAAATATACAACGTATCGTATAACCTTACACGCTGTATGGAGTATCTTGTTTGCAGTTTTTTCAATGATACGTACTGATTTTTATTCTGAAATAATGGGCTCTGTGTAGAGGACGATTACATCTGACATGTGTAATGTTCTTTCTTTTCAGCTGGATCCTGCTGCCAGTCAGCTGAACTCCAATGATGCCTTTGTCCTGAAAACTCCCTCTGCTGCTTACCTTTGGGTTGGCCAAGGAGCCAGCGATGCTGAGAAATCGGGAGCACAAGAGTTGCTGAAGACACTGGGAGCTCGCCCGGTACAGGTTTCTGAGGGCAGAGAGCCAGGTGAGGGAGGCACAATGGGGTCCGAGATCATTTCTGTGTAGCTGCACGTTCTCAGTAACCATTCAATGGGTATTTTCTTTTGTCTCTCAGAACAATGAAATGTGGACATAGGCACAGAGGGGCTTCTCCAAAGTATCTTCATTATGTTTAACAGCGCACTCATGTTTGTAGGCGTTTGGGACTTTCTGACGTAGAAGAGTGCTTCAAGTCCTACCCAAACCATACTGCTACTGTGGTTTCCATTAATAGTTGAAGCATCAGTATCTCTTTCTCTTTTTCAGCTAATTTCTGGGCAGCTTTGGGTGGAAAAGCTCCTTACCGTACCTCTCCCCGGCTGAAAGACAGGAAGATGGATGCTCACCCCCCTCGTCTTTTTGCATGCTCCAACAAGAGTGGACGCTTCATTGTGAGTATCTAAGAAGATAGTCAATTAATTCAACATCCATCTGACAAAGCTGGGAGGAACTCAGTCCCCGTCTGCTCTGAGCCAGCCGACAGGCTGTTATACCTTATCTTCCTTTGTGGCGTTGCCTCCAGAAGGAAAGCATCGGCACCCTTTTTCTGCAGAGACAGCAGCTAGTTCTATTGTGCTGTCGTGTCAGCACAGCAACTTTCTGAAGCGTTGAACTCGTCCTGCCCTGGTTAACAACTAGGATTCAGACTCCTCAAATTTTAACTCATGAATCTTTCAAATAAAAACAGGCAGGATTACAAATCTGGGCATGAGTGAAAGGCAGTTTCTCTAGGTAGAGAGAGACTAATTTTGTGGTCTAAGAACACTTCTGTGACATAGCTGGAGTTGCATGGTCAAATACCATGCCAACGTCTAACTTAATGCACCTCCACTGACAAGAGGTGAAACTAGAACCTCTGTGAACTGGGTTTCTCCTGTAAAGGTAAAATGGTGCTTGAAGTATGTGCCCATCTTTTAACCTTATGTTTTCCAGATTGAAGAAGTTCCTGGAGATCTGACTCAGGATGACCTTGCTACAGATGATGTTATGCTCCTTGACACATGGGATCAGGTATGTCACATTTACCTAGTGAAGAAGGAAGCAAAGAATAGGCACAAATTGGCTCTAGGTTGAGACGCAAATTACAATAGCTGGAAGAGTTGTTGTATTACAGAGTCCTTTCATCTTCAGGCCTGAGAAGAAGTCACCTCACTAGCGACATTGAAGAGAACTTACGCCCAGAACTTGAGAAGAGAGTCGGTGTCCGGCTGTTTCTTGGTTAGCTTAAGGGCTGAAGAAAACAGGCTGTTGTGTATCAAATGTCCCCCCCTAGTCTGTAACCTTCTCGAGGGCAGCATCCTTGTCCCGGCTGGAGAGGACCGCAAACCATTGTTAGGATTCATTGATAGTTTAAGATACTGACACGTTTTCTGTTATTTTTCAATAACAGACTGGGCATACATCAGCCAAAAGGCAACTTAGAGATGAATTTTTTATGTTTTTCGTAAAAATGCTCAAACATCTGCTACTTTTTCCTGATGTTAAGCTAGTGCGTCATTTATTCATGTATCTAGAATTTATGTAGATAAAACGCAGTCAAAAAGCTTCTCATTATCTACCAATAGCTTTAGTCACATAGGTCAACAATCCAGGCACACCAACATGAATATGTTCTTGTTCTGTGTCATACTCTGTTCACTGAGACTTTGTCTAAATTATCCTTTCTTTCATAAAGAGATCGATTGTTGCTGAAATAATTCATACGGGTTTTTTTTATCTTTAGGTCTTTGTATGGATTGGGAAAGATGCCCATGAAGAAGAAAAGAGTGAGGCTTTGAAATCTGGTAATGTCACATTTTCCTCTCTGAACTAACGGTTTCTTATTTTCCCTTATCTGATCATAAGGCAGGCAATTTAATATATTGAGACACATACCTTAATCACAACATAAAATTCAGTGTTGTGATCAAAGAGATCACCTCTCTCAAGAAAGGAGAATCCCTAAGATCAGCATAAAGAGATGTAGCATTCAGACACGCTGTGCTCAACCCCTAATACTGAAAAAGTATCCTGGTGTGGGTAAGCAGGCGTAGGCTGCTACTGTATTACGGCATTTTATAATTCTGATGTCAGCTTTCTGCAAACAAGTGCCAGTCTTCTAACAAGTATAGATAAAACTATAGAGTGAAGACTTTTGTGGGTTTTGTTCTTGTTTAAATGAATAATCTGAAATTGTATCTCTAGCATCCATTTAGCTACAATTAAGCTGTTTCAGCGGTTGCTCCACGAGACTTGTACTCTATGAGATTTCCTTCTACTTGTGTGTTTTCAGCTAAACGGTACATTGAAACTGATCCAGCCAGCCGAGATAAGAGAACTCCAGTCACAGTCGTTAAGCAAGGGTTTGAGCCGCCAACCTTCTCTGGCTGGTTCCTGGGCTGGGATGACGACTACTGGTCTGTTGATCCTCTACAGAGAGCAATGGCAGATGTGGATGTCTAAGTAACAGGTTTTTTCTTTTCTTAAATGGAGCAAGTTTAGTGCCTTCAATGCCTTCAAGAGCTACTTCCTCCTGCAGGATGCATGTTAACAAGGCAATGATGTTCATAGCCAATTAGCTGTGCAATAATTACCGAAAACAATCATGACCAGTCACTGACCCTACTCCTTGCTTTGATGGTATTTAATACAATAAAGCTTGTATGGAATATGTGAAGACTAGAAATGCTACGGTTTGTTACTAAGAAGAAAACGTTAAACAGAACCTGTAGATCCCACTGTTGAACTTGCTTGAAACAAATATACCTTAGAAAACTAAACCTTCTTTGTGCCATCTTTTGCACATGTACTTTTTACTAAATGGTTACAGAAATGATTTTTGGGGTTTTGGGATTGTTTTGCTTTCCCGTCGCCAGAATTGTTGGCATTTAAGACCCTGATAAATTAACAGTATTCTACTTTTTCAGAAAGTCACTCATTAGTAAACAGCATGTTTTTTTATTCAGGCTGAGAGCAAAAAGCGTGCTGCTGGTGTCAACAAGAATTCACAGGGGTGGCCATCTACAGCAGCAACTCATCTTCCCCAAGGATTAACCTCAAGCTGTGCAGTTACTCTGTTTCCCACTTGAAGTGCGTGAGCATAGTAATGCTAATTATTACATCTTTGTTAACCATACTTCCTTCCCCCGCCCCCAGCAAAAAGTCAAGCTCAGCTTACATTAACTGAAGTACTGACAAACACATGCAGACAGGGATCCTGCTTTTATGACGCAGAGAAAAAAAAAAGTTCACAGCAAAGAGGCAGAAGAGAAACAGCGCCGACTGGCTCAAACCCTTACAGCGCCTGGGCATCTTCTGTAACAGTGACAAAGGCACAGCGACTCAAGGCACAGTTAACAGTCCTTGCCCTTACTAAAATACCTGTCAATACAGAACTGATCGTAGCAGAAAGGTGATAAAAAACAAGTCAGGAACTTTATGCTGGCCAGTGTGAGAAGGGCACTTACACCATTGATCTTGGCTTTTTGTTTTCATTGCCACCTCCCAATAATTAAAGACCAGATGCCAAACTCAGTGATGCTGGTAGCCTAAAGAGCCTCCCCTCCCAGACCCCAAGTCTTCTCATTTTAATCTGTAATTACATCTGCTGAACAGGTACAAAATACGAATACAGTTTAACAGACTTACAGCTCAAGACTACAGGAACTGAAGATTACATGGTTTTGGTATTAAGTATAAGCCCTTAGTGTCACAATAAATACTACAGGTCTGCTCAGAAGCAGCATCAACAGGTAAATCACTAATTTGTTAGAACCGATATATAAACAGTACTGCATCTTCTGTTAAACATCCCCACCCCCCGCTAATTACAGAGATCTTGCTTCCTAGAGAAGCAGGTTTTAGACCTGGATAAAATGCAGGAGTCAGCACTTTGGCTTTTTAAAATCATTTTTAAGAGAGACAGATAAAGGCAGACCCAACAACTTTTCAGTGTTTTAAAGAAGCATAGATCTATACAGGCACACCACCATAACAACAAAAGAGCCAAGCAGTGACTGCAAGCATATTGTATCCATAACTACAGCATGTTTACGCCATTTGTGTGGCAGAACAGAGATGGAAAGTTCCACTTCAGTAACATCGACTAACAACTGTTTCTCATGAACAGGGGACTATTTTAGGGAGTATAATCTGATTTTCAAAAGTACCCAGTATAGTACTCTCACTCCTATGTCAACTTCCATTACTTTTCCTTGTATAAGCTAGAGAACCAATCCACATGGCAGCAGTCAGATGACTTCATCACATACAGCTACACTCCCAAGAGAACAGAGTTAGGGCTGTTCTGCTTCCCTTGCAGGGCTACAGACCCATTTATTAACAGGAATACTTCTCTTTCCAAGTGTTGGATCATCTCATCTTCACCACAAATGGTTTTATATACTATCTGAAAATGGGAGGTTATAGATTAAAGGTGTCCCATCCCAGATAGTATGGATACATACTTTTTTAAGATCACAATCTGCTTGTACTCATTTTGAGAGGTTTTCAATTTCAGGTATTTTGACTGTCCATATTCACAAACATGACATATAAGTTTTATAACACACTTAGTATAACAAAAGAGGTTCCTCAGCAAATCCACTTTGCTAACACCGCCATAAGCTATAATACACAGGGAATTCAGTGTTGCAAACATTCGCTGTAGCAAAAAAACCCATCCCAAACTCTCTCCTCCCCTAGCGATTTGTGCCTATTATGCCCTGCAACATATTTATGGGCAATGGGAAGATGATGGTGGAGTTCTTTTCTGCAGCAATGGTGTTCAAGGTCTGCAAATAACGAAGCTGAAGAGCAGCAGGGGACTCCGCAATAACCATCGATGCCTCTTTCAGGGCCCTGGAAGCATTCATTTCACCCTCAGCTGCAATTACCTGGGGAAGCAAAATGAATGAAATATTGAATTCATTCTGGCACAGTAATAAACCAGAAATCTGTAGGATGACTTCAGCCTGAAGTCATACACCAAAGACACTGCTCATCACTTTGATCAGGTGACCTCCCCTTACCATGTTCTTTCACCAGTTCTGCCTTTTCTCTCGCTCAGACCTACACTGCTCCTGCCTGCTTTCAAGGCCCTGTGTGCCTGTTTTCCTCCCATTTGGTATCAGGATGCCAGATCACAAAAGCTGGCACCATGTCTTGAAAATGCAACGGATGCAATTGTTCTGTTTTCAAAAACTTCTTTTGTGCTTCTTTCAGCACTGCCTCTCAAAACCAGAAGGCACTCCCCATATATATCTGAAAATACTTTTTACTTAAAGCTGGTTTTTTTTGTCTCTACAAGGGCTTGATGGGTGAAGGGCATGTTTCTTATTGGGGAAATACCTTTTTATTCCCTCATTCTCTTTAATTATGGGCTCATTAGGGACAGATTTGTGGTCATGCATTTCTTTACAAGCAGGGCCTGTCTGCATTGGGACAATATAAATATTTTCTGAGTATTTGTAAAGGATGGCTGGATTGGAGGATGGCACTGTTTTAACAGGTAAGTTATTGGTGAGGCAATTTACGCGCGTGTCAGCACAGGCAAGTGCATATTCCCCTGCAGAGTTCTATTGCAAGGGCACAATATTCTTTTAAATGTCAGAATAAATAATAATTAAAAAAAAATCACAAAGTAATTAAGCTTCAAAAAAATATGTAGAAGTTAATACTTGGAGCACTAACGTAGGCTCAAAGATCTTTTCCTAGGTGCACCACCAACTTCACATTCAATAATTCCTCGCCCCGAAGTCCAATGAAATTCAGTTTAGGATTTATTTCCCATGAAAATAAAAACCAAAATTTTAATTAGAACCTAAAGATAGGTTAAAGTTAATGAAAATCCTAATTAATGGCAGACAGAAAAAACAGTCATATATATACGTGCATAAAAATCACTCACACGTGTATGTGTGTGCGCGTGAGATGAACAGCATAAGACTAGATGTAATTTTCATGGCATTAGATGAACTCTAGTAATCCTCCCTTTGCCAAGAACAATTTTTAGTATTTGGAATGAAAGTTCCATTTTTCTGGGGGCAGGCAGCTCAACAGACCACTAATATCTACCAGAAACCCTCATCTATCAACTTAGTCTACCAAAAAAGTTTTTTTTTGGACAGCTAGGATTTTTGTTTGTTTGTTTCTTAAAAACAAAATCTATGGTTGTTATCTATGGAGGTCAAAATAAGTTTCCAAGACAGCATTAACAAACCAGAGGAGACAAACTGCAGGGCACAGAACGCTAAGGGAGAAAGCTAACCTGCTAGTCCTGGAAAAGGACAGCTCCAACTGCCCCTGAGGATTTTTACTCCAAACTTCAATATTTAGTATCACCTTCTCCCACCTCAGAAGAGAATAAGATGTCATGACCAAACAAGATCACTGGTCAGCTTAAGGGTGATAAAACTAAGTATTACAGCTGTTCTACTTCTCCTGTGAAGTAACAAACAGAAAACAAAGGACTTGCCTAGAATCAGGGCTAGTCAGGAAAAAGCTGGAAGTAAGTTTGGCTTCTAATTCACTGCAAGCTCCAGCTAATAACCTCAAAATTGTTCTGCTTATGATTTGTTTTTGGAGTGTGGTAAAAAATTGAGATTCTGCACTTTTGAAGGAAATCTCATCTGCATGATCCAAGATGAAATAGAGCAAGCACCCAGACACAAATCCACAAAAGTCCTGCCCTGCACTCCTATTTGCTACAACACAATCTGGCTGAGAATCTTCATCCTCTACATCACATTAAATTATTCATGAAGACAAAAAAAAATTAAAATAAATCTAAACCCACATGTTGATGTTATTACCTTAGCTCTTGCCTCCCGGGCAGCTTCTGCTTCTGCAGCCATTGCTCTCTGCAGCTGGACAGGTAATTTCACATCCTTGATCTCCACACGTTCCACCTTAATGCCCCAATCATCTGTTGCCCCATCAAGTGTGGCCTACATAAGGAAGGACAATTAAGTTAAGCCATCTACCTGGCTGCAAACAAATGTCCAAATTTGAAGAATGACCAATAAACCCAATGAATTCTCTTACAATTCTTGGACTTAAGGGCTTTATATTATGATTTGATAATTATAAAAGCATAACTGTTTTAAACTAACAAAAAAACTCCAGAGCTTGATTAATATATTGAAGGAATTCCGTGGCATAATTTCCTTCAACAGCAGCATATTGATATAACGATCCAGGGAAGCCCTCCTCTTCTGTATCCCTCATTCCCACTTGCTAGCCCCACTAGTCCATTATTGCTTTAGTCATATTGTACAGAATGCCATCCCAATAGCTCTTGATAGGGCTTTGCCTAAAGCTCCAAATTGAAACTTGGCTTATCACTTGGAAGGTAAAATAAATCCTGACCTGTAAGTTATCCATGGGATTGCTGCTTAACGGATTGTTTGATGGATTGCTTAGGTAAAGCTGCTCATACCTGCATGCTGTGTGCAATTTCTTCACGATCAGAGAGAATCTGAGAAAGGTTTTTGGTCCCCAGAACATTCCTCAAAGTAGTCTGTGCTAAAAGACGGGTGGCTGAGTCAGCATTTGTGATATTTGCTACAGCAAGGGTGGCATTCTGAACTCTGTAGTAAACCACTCCATCTACATTAACTGTCACAGAGTCCTTGGTCAAGATCTAAAAAGCAATGGGGAAAGCATGTAATAATTAAGCATATATTTATTGAATATAATGATAATTATATATTTGTTTTACTAGACAGACTCCTAGTTTTTCCAAGGTAAAGCAACCATCTTGAAAACAAAAGGTCTTATACACATATGCTACACGTAAACGTGTCTATCTACAGATGCACAAACCTTCCAGTATAGCTCTGCGAAGTTAAGACTAAATATGAGATTTGAACATTTCTCACTGAAAAATAAATTCCGTTAGCTTTGCCATAATGTTATTTCTAATTCACTTCTTCAAATTCACAGAGGGATCTGCAATTCATGCAAGCGACAGAAAAAAAACCCAACAGAAATAATTTAGACCAAAATACATATGCTCTTTCACCTGAGAAACTTCAACCTGTTGTTCTGAAACTAGGAACGTATCATAACCAGGTAGGTCCTCTCCACTGTATTTCAGTGAGGCTTACAATAACAGATGTGTAAGAGCCAGACTGACTGTACAGGAATGCAAGAGGTATGCGTAATGAAGGACTGAGGTAACAAAAGGCTCCAAGAACATTAACACTCAAAGTCCTGTTTAAATGCAGAGATGCGGATATGGGACCACTACATTCAAAATGGGTTAAAGCGCTCCAGGTAAGATCACACACTGGAGACATTTATGAGAGAGGCTCATTTCATGTTTCTGTACAGAGAAAAAAGGCTAATAATGAGTATCACTGCAAACATAGAACACATTAGATTTTCGCTTGCATTTAACTTCAGTCACAAGATTATTGATTTAGCAAGACATAACTCCGCAGGTGTGTCAGTTTATAAAACAAGGGCCAAACAGGCAACTTATTTAAAAAGCAGGTGAGGGAAGAGGGAGTTATTTCAGCTGTTACTTTCAAAGAAACATCATAAATGCGTTTTCTTACTTCAACATTTAATTAGAAATATCTCTGTTACTATCTAGCAGTTCATTGTCCTTCTTGGAGGCACTTCTGATTGAAATGCCACCTTGTGCTACTAAACAAGTATGTGGTGATTTTTAGACAAGTTGCAGAGGAAATCCAATTTGTGAACACCCTCAGAGCCAGATTCAGGTGATTTACTGAATTTAACACTTGTATGTTAAGTAGACGTACTTGCAAAGATAAAGACAGATATTATTGAAGGTTTAGAAGAGGGTACACCAGAAGGAAGCGTTAATTAGATTTTGAAGTTAAGTTAAAAGGAGATTGAAATATGCCGCATGACTATCAGAAGAGGTGTCCTAATTCCATATCAGACAATTACTATTATGTTATTTGACAAGAGAGAGTGATATGCGAGTGAGTTAACCTTCAAGACTTACCTGCTCTATCCTTCCCCAAACTACCTATGTTAGCAGGCTTTTCATAATAGTGTAAGATAAACAAAGAATGAGTAGCTTGCACAGAAATCATGTTGTACAAATAAACATGTATTTCTGCTTTTACCTAAAACCAAGCCTAAATCCATAAGCATAATTTAATCAAGTCAAAAGAAAAACTGTAGAACTGATGGCTTCACTAATGGCACATCAGCAGCTGCAAGCCCATTTTGCCTGCCAGTGATTAGGTTTCTACCAATTACCCTTTAGAATGTACCATGACAGTTGCCATTTGTCTAAATCTACAACTAATGATGAGCAATAAACAGACTAGCAAATATGACAGGAAACAGATGCACCAGACAGGTTGCGTCAAGCATCTTTGTCTTGCAAAATACACCAGATACATGAGGGATACAGTTATAATCATCAACATACAATTGTTCACGAACTTATTTTTAGAGGGCTAGTTGTTTTTTATTCTTTTGTTATCCATTGAGTTGGCATCACTGAGTTCAGCTAGCTTAATGCTGTGGAGAGATTCTGCTAAAAAATTAAGATATCCAAGGAAAAACAGACTAGAAATAAAAGTAATTTTTGTGTTCTTTAGGACCTTCAGACTGAAAGACATCAGATGTCATTAGGTGCGGTACACCTTCATAATGTTCTGTGCATAGCAGGACACAGAAGCAACATGTACACAAAACCCACATAAGGGAGTGGACCATTACCCTGAGTTGCTATTAATAGCATTTGATGTATATAATGATCTCATCCCATTATTTTAGCTAGTTTATACATCTAGATAAACTGGCATCAGAAAGAGCACTGCTGCTTCTGGAAATCTTCCAGATTTCACAGAAACCATTTGAGAATGTTGCATGAAGTCCAGCAGTCTTCATTCCAAACCCCTCCCATTCTAGCTTTTAGACAGTATTAAGTTATCTTATTTGGTCCTTAGAGGACAGCATAATTTCTTTTCTTTCAGCGATCTTCTCTTATTGAATGGTATTACTAAAGGATATACGTATTCTTCACAATATATTAAACCTGCACAAGAAAGCTACATTAAAACTACATGCTACCCAATACTGAGAGGGGAAAAGGAAAAACAAAGTGCAAAAAATTCTGCAAGCACTTTAGCAGATACAAAGGCAAGGGCAAACTCACCTCTTGGGGAGGAATATCAAAAGAGACAGTCCTCATATCAACCTTGATGAAGTTGTCTGTGCAGGGCAGGACAAAAAGCAAACCTGTACAAAAAATTCATTCAAGAATATGTGAAAATGGGTCATTAAAACAGATGAAACTTGCTACTGAAATAAGCTTAAATCCAACCACTGCAGCTGTATAGCCCTCTTTGTAACGAGCTCAGCAGCATGTTCGTCTTACCCTACAAACCAGGATAAGACTTTCAAAAAAGTATCCTGAGAAACTTCAATTTACTCAGGTCTAACTTAATTTGAGATCTTTAACATTTGGGAAAAAAACCCAGAACTGTTAACAGCTACTTTTGAACATTTGTCCCACATAGTTAGTTGTGGGGCCTAATTCCAGCAATCAGAAACTATCAACTTCCTTTTGTTCTGGTGGATCAGCACTGTAATTCTTCAGCTTTGCAGCAATGTAGAAGCGTTCCAAAATCTGGATGAAAATGAAGGAAGAAGCTATTGCACCTTTCTGTCTCTTTGAGTAACAGGAGTAACAGCTGAAAATAACATTCAGAGCTCATCAGAATTTCTAATATGCACAGGAATCTTTCCAAAACTATCAAATAATTTAATTGCTTCTATTTTATTTGAAGAACATCGACGCTTTCAGACCTTTTAGGTTTTAAATGACATACTAAACTTCTTTTTTAAAATGGCACATTTGATGCCATTATTCCTCCCTTTACATTCTGTGCTTCTGATTCTACCTGAAGACCATGCGTTAACTAAGGAGATCTGGGTAAGGCTCACAGATAATTAGTTTACTATCTCCTCCATATAAAGTAACTTTATATCCTCTTACTGGAAGTTACAAATTCTTGAGAAATCCATTCGCCAGTCTAATGCAATGTCTCTAGACAGCTATTATTTTGCCGATGACTTAATTAGAACAAATATTAAGCATGCTCTCCAGGACATACCTGGTCCCTTTGCTCCCCCTTTTAAGATGTGTCCAAGTCTGAATATGATGGCTCGCTCGTATTCCTTTACAATCTGTAATAAATAGTTGGATGTCATGCAAGGGTTTCCAGAAGCCATGTGATGGATTCCAAATATGTATACACTACTCTAAGATGGTCTTAAGTCTCAAATGTAACATACATTAAATTTCATTTCTGTACTGGCTGCTTTTGAGAATTTTAGCCTAAACTTTATTGTCAAAAAGCAAACAGCAAAAGGAACAATCAGGACAATACTCCACAAGAAATATTCTTCAGACTGTGGCACCATCTAGCAACAGCTGAAGCAACAGCACGTCATCTGGGCAGGACCGCACACTGAAAGCAGCCATCAGGAATATCCTGGCAACAACAAAACAAAGCGCAGTATATGTGACCCAGCAGAGATTTTTCCAGCTCTAATTCTGATGCAGTATATTAGCCAAAAGAAAGCAGGAGTTATTTCCTCCGGTCTGGAAACTGAAAACATCAAGCTCAAAGTGATCACAGATGATGCATTCTCTAAGAATCTGTCACATACAGCCACATTTATGTACATACTCATATTTATATTTACATACTTCATATTTACATGCATACATATATAAGGAGAGGTCTCCTTAAAAAGAAAAAAAAATTAAAATATCAGTCCTCCAAGAGTAATTATGCGTTCTTGTGCATAATTATTCTGATCTTCCGAACTAGCTTATGTACTAATGACAACTGGGTAGACGTAGCAAAGATATCAATGCAAAAGCCGTTTTGACTAAATCCTGTAATCGCACTCTTCTTTTTGATTTGAAGATTAATGCACTGAAATGTAGGGATCTGCTACGTGCTGTCTGTTACAGTTCAAGAAGTGATAGAGTTAGATTAATTTGTGCTTAAAACAAATAAATAAAATAGAGAACAATAATAACCACTAGGAAGCATCTGCATTGCTTAAAGTTTTAATCTAACTTAGCAGTGAACAATTTTACCTTTACGCACATCCAGATTGATATAGGAAATGTAATAATAGTGAAAAAAAATGAAATGATAACCAGGATCCATCCACACAAACCAAGGCCAGTATCAGTGTCATCTGCAAGAAAAGAGCAGAAATTTTCAGATTTTTAAAATCAAGAGTGCCTGTTAAAGAAAGGGCCTACAATTGGATATTTATGTTGAATATTACTTGAGATAAGCCACTGTTGGCAATACTCCTCTGGCCAAACTCATTAGGTTTAGATCAGAAGTTAAATTAAAAGCTAAATTCTGTTTTCATTTTCACAAGTCTCTAGAAGTTGCACAAGATAGCTGAGGGCAGAATGCAGTCCAAGTAACTTCTATACAGAATTAAGTATGCTAACATTTAAGTATAGACTCTCAGATGCCTCTCTCTTCCCCAATTTTCTCTAGCAGAATCACCAACAGGTAGCAGTAGAAATCCTGTTCTTTTATTGTCTAAGGAAGTCAGAGCAACCTTGCTTAATGAGCAAAATGCAAATCCCCATGGCCTATCAACTCTAGTGACAGGACATTTAGAATTTGGTTTATGTTCCAGCTGTTGTAAGTGCAGATCTAAGAAAACCACCATTCTCAGAACTTTTGTGTCTAGGCAGAAGGATAAGATGCAGTGCAAGATTAGCTGGACATGAAATAAAGTCTCTATAAAGCATTTCTTGGCCAAAGACTCCTTATGCTTAGAAAACAAACGTGACAGTTCTCTGCCATGAAATGACACCAACTGAAGGTACTTCCAGAATCCGCAAATAACAAGAGCTAGTGGTTTCGAATACTACACAGCTAAAAAAAGCAATGCACCATGACAAAACGTGGATGTGCTGGGAAGCATTCATAAAGCTACAGGAAGTTTCTTATCCTCCCAGCTAAGACTCCTAACAGGCTGCCAGGAGCCCACTGCCGAGTGGGGATATCCCAGGGTGAAACTGAGCACTCACAACCATCACATTCCTG